CATTTTTGTCTTACCTCCAAATTTGAGAGCATTTTCTTCACTTTTTTTAAGATGTGGTGTTCCCCACAATGTAACAACTGAGCAGATTCTTTCCGTTCTTCAATCTGTCAGAGATAGCTCTGAGCTCAAAGAAGATGAAGCATGGTCAAAAGTTAGAGCTGTATTGGACTGGATAGCAGATAACACTAGTACAGTAAGTAAAGCTGATATTCTAGTACCAGTTGAAAGTGATCTATCATATCCTCAGTTAATCCCTATTGATGATGTAGCTTACACTGATAATGAAATGTTACGTGGCATTGCACGAACGTCAGATGAAAAGTATAATCTTATACATCCTAAAGTGTCTTACCTATCTTCCAAATTGGGCCTCTCCCCACTCAGTGATCAGCTTGATATTACTGAAGATGTCTTTGAAGATGCTGGTCAACATGAACCACTAACAACACGACTCAGCAATATATTGAGAGAATATAAAGATGGATTAACTATCATAAAGGAGATGATACAAAATGCTGATGATGCTGGGGCAACTGAAGTTAATATTTTACATGATACCCGCATGCATTCAAGCCACAATTTAGTGTTAGAAGGAATGGCAGAGAGCCATGGGCCAGCATTGATAGTCCACAATAACAGCACATTTACAAAAGAGGACTTTGAAAACATCACAAAACTTGCTGGTGCTACAAAAGCTAACCAACCACTCAAGATTGGAAAATTTGGAGTTGGATTTTGTTCTGTGTACCACATCACTGATGTACCTTCTTTTGTTAGTGGAGAATGGCTATACATATTTGATCCTACATTGAAACATTTAAAAGGTGTAGTGCAAAATGAGAGCAGGCCTGGCAAAAAAATTAAGTTTCGATCTAAATTCCTTGCCAAATCACAGCAATTAGCTCCATACCAGGACTTGTTTGGTTTTGATTCTTCATCATCTTACAATGGTACGATATTTAGGCTACCATTTAGAACGCATCCTAGTCAGATTTCTTCCACTATCTACAATAATCATCTTATTCAAATGATTAAAAAGGATTTAGAGTCAAACGGTTCTAAATTATTGCTTTTCTTACAGAATGTTAAGCGCATCACATTTAGCTCACAACAAGAAGGTAGGCCGATCATTGAACATCTGTCCATTGAGTGCAGTAATGATGACACTGAGAATGTCAAAGTATGTGTTACACAATCAAGTACTAAATCTACAGAGTATTGGCTGCTATCAAATAAAGAGCAACGGCTGAAATCACAAGATGGTGCCTATAAGCAAGCAGTTGCATCTGTAGCTTGCAAGTTAGTTAAGAAACAATCTTCGTTTTTGTGTGAAGCAATAGAAGGGAATACATTTTGTTTTTTACCATTATCAGTTCCTGCTACTGGCTTACCGGTGCATGTTACTGCTAACTTTGCTGTTATGAGTAACAGAAGTGGCATATGGACAGGAGCATCATCTGCAATGGCTTCAGATGAAAGGGAATACTGGAATCAGCAACTAATGACAACAGTCATACCTGAAGCATATTGTAAGTTGTTAAAAAGTTTGCAAGCAATGCACTGCTCTGGAAGACTTTTATCTTATGAATTTCACATGCTGTGGCCACTGGCTTCCAACCTTCAGATGAGGCT